CTGTGAAGTAAAGCAATTTATACAATTTAATTATATGCAAAATTTTTTGGCAATGGATCCACAGCTTTCACCAGATTCCCCAAAATGTCCAAGATTCCCAGAACTGAAGCACCCCAGACCTTGATTTTTTCATTGCTAACATTGTGAGCTCTTAAGAAGTTAAATTCTCATGTTATATTTTCTGTAAACTTACTGTATCTCTCATTACTATTTCTGCCCAATCCAAATGCACATATATATAATTTAATTGCTGTATATGCAACCTAAAGGAAGTCCTCATGTACTGGGATAACCATTTGTTCCTCACCGTTAACTGAGAAAACAGACATGTGCACACACACAATGCACAAGCGATGTAACTCCCAGGGCCTCAATTACATTGAACAACTGATAAAACAGTGGATTGTTTGAGCAGAGGAGTGGGTAAAATTTCAATTCAGACAATGGATTTTTATGTGGCAATCCCTTGCTTGAGGCTGGGAACACTGCATTGGAAATGGAATTTATCCAATTTATCTGACAAAAAGAGCAATGATCTTTGTGTGACTCTAGCAAGGAAAACATGCAAGAGACAGAAGGAAAGATATTTTTTAAAACGTCAGTGGCCAGCCCGTCCTGATTTTGGTCAGATACAAAAGCTGAGTAAGAATTACTGATGGAATTTATGGGTACATCTTCATACTATTCAATATTCTGGCTGTGATATGTTCTCTGTTTTTTTGAAGGACCAATGATATGGTAAGCGTGGATTTCATACAAACAGTAGACCAGTCTTCCTAACAGTGAAATAGATTCTTTCAGGCATTGGTGGGCAGATCCTAACCAGCAGCATTGTTCACTGGAGCATTCTTTGAGATCTAGCCCCTGAATACCCCAGCTAGTCCCAACAGAATAGCCTGATATCTATCTTTAGGTCAAGCTATCTGCATATTAATCTGTCTCAAAATAACAGTCCAATCTTTCCAAATTCTGGTGGTGTCCCCTTCTCCAAAATCTAGTATATAAGCAAAATCTTGTGGATGTTGTGTTAAATCCCACAACCTAAACCCTGCGTTCAGAGGAACATGACTAGATGGGCACAAAGATACCTATAATCCCATCTTTCATGTAGGAAAATAATATGCAGCCTGTGTTATCAGATTTCTTTATACAAAGATAAATAAATAAATTAATAAGGAACATTTAATTATCTTCTTCAATCAAATACTTGAAAGTGACAATACCTGAGAAAACCTCAGAAGTTAAATGAGTTGCTGAACTGATTTTTTCAAGCAGAGTTATAAGTCTAGACATGGTTTGAAGGCAGGGAGAGAAGAAAGAGAAGGAAGGAGTGCTATATGCACCAGTTCACCATTTTCAAAACAAATAAATGTTATATAATGATTCATATAGATTTAAGAGTTAGACAGAGAGATTAAGGAAGTGCCACAATATAGGTTTTCTTCTGTCTCCAATGTGGCAAGGTCATGATTTTTTTTTAAAAAAAGCATTCAGATTCTTCTTCATGATGCATGCAACTTGCAACATTTTCTTTTGCCATGCTTGATAAAGCTTTCTACAGAAATCACATTGTGAATGTCTAAAAGCTCAGAAATATATCTTCCTAAGCTTTTTAAAAACTCCCCTTTCCTTCCTTTTTTTCTCCCACTTGCCTTTGGACCACCCAAGTTTTCCTTATCCAAATTATTTCTCTTCTAAGAATGCTTGCCATGACTCTGTACCTCCAAGAGACAGCTTGGAGGAAATATGGCTCCTACCTACAATTCTTTCTGTTCCATCCATTGATATTGAGCCAGCTATTTGCATGTCCGTCTTTCTGCCCCATGGTAAATGCAATTGAGCAAGGGAGTCCAGGAGCTGGAACCACTTTCACCTTTTGTATTATTTATGGGAAAGGTTATCAAGACTCCTAAGAGTCCGGTTTGGAAAATGACTGCTTCTTGGAACTGATTATTGGAATGCTCCCCTTCCAATAGGTTTCAAATGGGGAAAAATGAGAGTGTAAAAGTGATTATTATTTTTTTCATGTCAGGAGTGAATTGAGAAACTGCAAGTTGCTTCTGGTGTGAGAAAATTGGCTATTTGCAAGGACGTTTCCCAGGGGATGCCTGGATGTTTGATGTTTTACCATCTTTGTGGGAGGCTTCTCTCATGTCCATGTGTGGGTAGCTGGAGCTGACAGCTGGAGCTCAACCCGCTGTACCCAGATTCAAACCACTGACATCTTGATCATCAGTCCTGCCGGCACAAGCTTTAACCCATTGTGCCACCGAGGGGTCCTTGTTTAAGTGATGGAAAATATTGATTGACTTCAATTCCCATCAGACCCATTTAGTGGATGACAGCAACTGTAGTTCAATATATAAAAGGCCACAAGCATGGAGTAGCTAGTAGAAATCTTTTGCTAATCATTTGAGAGAGAAAAGATAAGATTAATTCTGTAATCTATCTAGGAGGCAGGTAGAAGACAAATTCTGAAATCTCTAGTCTTCTACTCAGTTGACTTTAGCAACAAAAAGAAGAATGAGAATAGGTTCCCCACTGTAGAATTAATTTTCTTTTTAATATACAAATGTGCAAAAAGATTGTTTAAGGAAACACACAACAAGCTAGAACATGCAATTCATGAAATATTTGGAGTGAGATCCTGCATCCATGTTCTACCTGCAGATTTTGGTCCATGCAGGGGGCAGCCTCCAAGAGCAGATCACATTCCCATGGACATTTAGTAGCCTGTGGAGGATGTGGGATGCCTAGACAGCATTCAGCTGCACGTCTGATACAAGAGGAAACTGCAGCTGTTGTCCTCCCAATATTCAATCAAATACATTGCAGCCATCTCTCAGGTGCCCCATGTCCTACCCCAACACTAAATGGCTCTAAACACTCTTCTCCAGCCAGTAAATACCTGTAAGGATGGATCAGGGAAACAGTTCAAGAGGGGGCAGGATACCACCTTGCACAGTATCTTTAAAATCTGTATCATGCACAACCCAGCTATGCATGCATAGGTCACCAACAGGATTCCATCTCTGGGATCTCTTCTTTCTAATGTTGTCTTTTATTAGCATTTGTTAGTGATGTACAAGAATGGAGCTAGAACCAAGTTCTTGCCAGGCTAAGGTGTCTTTTTTTTTTAAGCTAAATTGTTTTAATATTTATTTTATTCTTTCAGACTACTATGATCACTTTGATGCCAATCATAAGGAACATTAACTCCACTGCTATCTTGGGATCTCAAGAGCAGGAAAGGATCATCATCTCATCATCATCATCTCATCCCCCAAAATGCTTTTCCAGCTGCTTCCATAAGGGAACATCAAAGGGGTAAGACACCGCCAAAATTCAAGTTACTGAGTTTAATAATTCACATGTCAGCTCCTGTCATAGTCATCTGATTTGCTTTCTTTTAAGAACCATTATTTTTGTAATTGTTGTTTGCTCAAGCTTTGAACAGAAGACAGTTGCACAGTATATTATGCAGGTAGTTCTCAGCTGTGCTGACTTTACTAGTTAATAATTACTATGCATTGTTTCAATCTGTTCAGAGCCATCTTGAAGATCATTCAATCAAATGGTGGGGTATTTTATCCTGAAAGAAAGTAAAACCATTCAAGTAAAATGATAATGATCAGATTATGAACAATGTTTGGAAAGTAACTTATATCCATTTGCAGTTCTAGAAGTGGGATGAGTGGCTCAGTAAGGAACCCTCAATGGCCTCCACTTGGAAGGCACTAGGTGTCCAACCCTTGAATCCTCTCATTTGTCCCCTGCCTGTCTGGGATCTACTCAAATCATAGAATCATAAAATCATAGAGTTGGAGGAGACCAACCCCCTGCAATGAAGCAGGAAAATCATATCCAAAGCCACCCCCCCCCCCACCTGACAGATGGCCATCCAGCCTCTGCTTAAAAGCCTCCAAAGAAGGAGCCTCCAACACACTCTGGGGCAGAGAGTTCCACTGCTGAACTTATCTCACATTCAAAAGGTTCTTCTGAATGTTCAGGTGGAATCTCTTTTCCTGAAGTTTGAAGCCATTGTTCTGCATACTAGTCTCCTGGGCACCAGAAAACAAGCTCCCTCCTCCCTATGACTTCTCCTCACATATTTATATATGGCCATCATGTCTCCTCTCAACCTTCTCTTTTTCAGGCTAAACATGCCCAACTCTTTTAAGCTGTTCCTCAGAGGGATTGTTCTCGAGACCCTTGATCATTTTAGTTGCCCTCCTCTGGACACATTCCAGCTTGTCAACATCTCTCTTCAATTGTGTTGCCAAGAATTGAACACAGTATTCCAGGTGTGGTCTGACCAAAAGAATAGAGGGGTAGCATGTAGTCTGATCAAGGCAGAATAGAGGGGTGGCATGGATTCCCTAGATCTAGACACTATACAGGCCAAAGTCCCATTGGCTTTTTTAGCTGCCACGTGACATCGTTGGATCATGTTTAACTTGTTGTCTATGAGAACACCAAGATAACAATTACTCTTTGGGGGCTGGGAGTTTTAGCCTCAGAAGAAAGAGCTTTAAAAAGTTGTGTTTAAGACTATAACTCTCAGGATCTCTAACCAACATGTCCACAGGATAGGGATTCTTGATATTATTTTTCAAAAAGGCAAAATTCCCAAATTGTAATCAGGGAAGTTTAGTGAAGGTTTCACCAGAAGGCTCTCAGTTGAGGAATACAAACATTATCATATGCAAGGTCATACTATTTGTCCATCCACCCATTGTCTTCTTTTGTCTAATGGATCTGTCTAATGGCTCTTTCAGGTATTTAAAGAGGTGTCATGTTGCATCAATTGTACTGTGTAGTTGCACCCTATGTAGGCAATAGGAGCTTTAGGAAAAAATATGCATGAATTTTCAATCCTGCCTTTTTGACTTTGGCCACACTTACCACTGGAAAGTGTTCCCCTTAGACTCTCTAAAATTTAATTTGGCCCTTTGGATGGAGAAAGTGGAGGAAGCAACGAAAAATACATAAGACAACTATTTCCCATTTTATATGAATAAAAGTTTTATTGAATGTTTTTTTTAGACAATTAGAAAGAACAAAGAGGAGAGCGAACAGTCTCATGAACAGTAGAACCAGAAAGAGCTTTCTGAGCACTGGAGTGCAAGCTGCTGTGAGCAGCATTTGTTGGAAATGTCTCTTACATTTCTCTTTGTTATAAAAGCAGAGAGAGAGAGACAGAGAGGGTGTGTTTTTTCCTCTATTTTTGCATGATGTTTCTTAAAAGCCACTCTTACCTACCCCCAACCTCCAAGTAAATAAAGGGAAAAAAACAAACAAACAAACAAAAACCAAACGGCCGTGAGCACATGAGGAGAGAGAGAGAGACTGCTCCCTGGGAAAGGTGTATAAATATGGCAGCCATCTGTCTGCCTGGTGTGCTCAAAAGTCGATTAAACAAGTTGTGTTTGTGGTGTGTGTCTGTGGAGGGAGTGGATCAGCAGGGAGGGGGTGGGTGGGAAAGAGAGCGTTGTTTGTTTGTTTTAAAGCAAAGAAGGCACAGAATTTCAGCTAAACCTCAACCCCAGTGCAACCTGAATGTCTCTCTCTGCAGCAGTAGCAAAGGAGGGCACAGAAAGTGCACAGCTTGGGCAGAGAACTCTTTTTAATAGCCTCTCTGTGGCCATGTATGTATTTGTGTGTAAGTGAAGAAATAAGTCAGGGCAAGGCAGAGTGGAAGCGGAAGAGCAGTACAAGTCGATTTCAAGGAACCCCATTTCCAGTGCATGTCAGAAGGTAGAGGGCATGGCTGTGAAACAAGTCACCCCCTTTCATAGTGCTGGGGTTAGATTGCAAGGATGGGATTTGTCAGTGCAGAGAAGGAAATCCTGTTAGGAGCTTCCAAGGGAGTGTTTCCCTTTAAGGAGTTCAGTGTGTCAGCATTACAAATGAGGCAAGTATAGAGAGTGGGACTCAGAGAGGTGCCCCTTGGCTCTGCCTCCTCGAGGTATTAGGAAATGACCCCCTGTTGCTCCAAGTTCCATCTTGGGCAAAAAGACCCTTGGTGGTGGTGTTTTTTTAATTCTGTTTTTTCTAAATCCTCAGATTTGAGTTAAGGCTGTTGAAATTGCAAGAGTAAAACCTGTGAAGCCATGTAGGCAAGTGAGACAAAGAAGATGGCAACAGGACCTCTTGCTAGCCTGTCCCCATTGGGTGCCTCTCAGCAATGGCCACATGGTTGGGGGGGGGGCAAATTGCCACCATAGCCCTGAGCCATCCTTTGCTTCTCCTTGCTTACTTGCTCTCTCTCGTTCCCTTCCCCAGTACTGTCACAATCATCCAAAACACCCAAAGAAGGGAAGGTGAAATTTGATGCCTCAAATGCATGAATGTTCAACTGTCAGCCTGACCATGCAGGCCAGCCCCAAACAGCCTTATAGGGGGACTCTGTCATGCAAATGCCAAAGCTTGGAAGCCAAGCTCTTTGACAAAGTTAAGCCACACATTCAGAAAAACACACAGCAGCTCCTGGAAGCAAATGGAGGCTTCAGCTTTCCAACCCCACCACCCCATTCCCAGCACCTCTCCCTCCCCAAACTTCTCCTCCTTCCCATAACAGCAAACAGCAGAAGCACATTCTGGCACCAAGCAGCATGTCAGGGAGCAATGCTTGGAGGGGAGGGGAAAACAGTTTCCATGGATGTGGCAAAGAGGTGTTGGAAGCATCTGAAAAAGCCAGTGCAAGGGGAGAACATCCAGTATGGGAATGGGGGAAGCAGGAGAACAGGAGAGAGGGATGGAAAAAAAGAATTACAGAAGAAAACATAACCCTCAAACCAATTCCGAACCCAATCCCGCCCACCTGCCCTGAGCCTGGCTCATGATTTTCTCTCTGACTTCTTTGAGCCAACATCTTGCCTGATTTCATCATTTCTTCTCAGCCAAGCTTTTTTTTGTTGTCAACTATAGGCTGCTGAGCTCTCCCTTTTCACAGCCTATCCATCAACTGCTGGGCTTTTCAAACTTCCACTGCAATGGTTGTCCTTGTGGTGACACCACCACCAATTCCATGGTAGGTAGAGCTTAGAAACCAAGTATGGCATCATCTCCCATGACACCTTGTGTGGCCCTCTGTTGGCCTTGGCACATTCAGCCGCAGCTGAGGAGCCCCCTGAGATCATGAGGGTAGGAAAGCAAGGGAGGGACTGTCACACCATTGAGATTTAGTTGATGGGGTGGGGGAGAGCACAGAGGAGAAACTTGTTCTTCTCCTTCAACTCAACACTGCAGGGAGGAAGAGCAGGGTCTCTTGTTTTGTCCATGTCTTCACACCCACTCAGTGCAACAGGTTCTCATTTGCCTTAGAACCATGGCTGCTCCCTACACCAAAGAGCCGGCTCGACTTTGTGCTGGCACCATGACAGGCACAGCTCCTATCCTCTCTAGCGTTGCCTGGCTTACTGCATAGGAGCGTGTGTGCTGGGGTCTTGGTTTCCGGCTCACTGAGCCATTGCTCCTAGCCATCTCCTGAGGAGAGGGGGCTGTATTGGTTGTTACCACCAATGTCTTGGGTGGAGGGGGAGCTGGGTGGCCTCCATTGGCATAGATGGGACGGGTGTTGGTGCTTCCAGAGCGGGAAAAGGATTGGCGTGCATCATTGTTGAGGCGAGTAAAGGAGTCTGTTGCATGGTTTGCCTTGGGATCATTCCAGTACCGACTGTTGTAGGTGTTGGATGAAGTGAGAGTGTCATTCTCTGATGAGGAAGCATCACCATGGAATGCTTTTGTAGAAGAGCATTTCGGTGGAAGATCGTCCTCCCTAAGGAGAGAAGAATTTATTATGAGGATTATTACGAACATATTATTATTAGCACATTTTGTCCCTCTCATGAGGGACAAAATCCCCATTCCCATTATTTAAAAAACCCAAAGTTTCCCATGTTTTGGTGGAAACATAAACAGAGAAAGCAAAGACAACATACCCTAAGATATCACCACTTTGACATCACAATCATAAACCTTACATTTCCATTTTTTGTGCCGATATCTCAGCATCATTTTGTCAAAGCTGAGAGATAAAAGAACACAATAAAAACTTATATAGCACAGTAGAAATTACCACTATTGGTCCAACATTCCTGGAATCCTTTTGGTCTTATTTCCCCACTATGGAAGAAAGGATTCCCTTTGTCCCCACAAAACTTGCTTCAATTAAGGGTCAATTTTTGTATAAACAGGATTGGTGGCATGTGGCAATATGCAACTTTCATGCCAGTGAGTCACTGAATAGTCTGACCAAGGTCCTGAACCCTATTCCCTAAACAGATCCAGCTTAATAGTTCCATTAGAGTTCTGACTAAAACTTAATGTAAGTCCACTTCCCTACTAACATGGAATCCACTATGCACTGACAATGAGTGTATTTAAATGTAATCGCTGATACGTAAAACCTGGAGATAAGTCTTATTGGATAGTCTATTTAACTATCCATCCATACATCTATCCATCCATCCATCCATCCATCCATCCATCTATGGTGCAGCTTAACTATGGAAGGGCTTGACACATATCTGCCAAAAATCTAAGAACGAACCATTCTTAGAAAAGAATTCAAGAAGATTCCTTGCAGTTCCTCTAGGAATCATCATGAGATCTATTATCCTCAAGTAACCTGAGTTGTGATAATTGAATTTGAAAGAAAGGGGCAGACAAGGGGCTTCCCCAAGATCAAACCTTATCTCGTTGGGAATCTCCTCCTCCTCTTCTTCCTTGTGTTTGTTCTTCCAGTAAAAGAGTGTCACAGCCACCAAGACAATACAGATAATGAGCACAACTGCCCCAGCAGCAGCAGCTCCAGCAATCAGGCCAATGCTCCGGGGGTGAGCTACATGAAAAATAATATATAATAAGTGTAAATGTGGAGGTGGGGGGGGGGGGGGGGGGGGGGGGAGATCTCAGGCAAGTTCAAAGACTTTCAGCACCAGGAGAGATCAGTGGTATTTCCTAGCTTGTCATTTCATGTATGATTGACAATTGCTCCATTGGCCCACTTCTAGGACCTCAGGAAACAGTTAAGAGAGAATCATTTTCCAGAAAGGATTCAGGGCTTCTGGGCTTTAGCAAAGTTCTGACATTTTCCAAAATGAACCAGAGATCTCAGGTGCGTAAGTGCTATATGTTCAGAGGATTACAACATAGTCTCATGCAGCTTAGCACATAGGACGGGATCTTGGATTGGAATATATTCATGTACTCCACCCCTTCCTCTCATAAAGCAGTACTTTAATGGGAGCCATGGTGCAGGAGAAAGCACCTATTTCTTTCACTCTCTGTTGCAAGCTGATTCTTTATCCAACACACCATCTCATTAACTACAAATAAAACCATGTAGGCACAACAAAGACCTGCATATCCCCTTCTCTGTGGCTGATAAAGGCTCCAGAGTAGTGATTTGGACTGGGGTCACAGCATATGCATTTTGGAAGGACAACACCAGGATCTAGCCAGGATCCAAAACATACCAAAGATGATTTTAGGGAATAAAAAATGATATGGAGGGATGGATACATGGATTACCCATGTAATTCAGCTTCAAGTGTTTGATACACAAAGGAGAAAAAGAGCCACCACGGCACTAAGGATATCTAATTAACTTTAGAATGCTCCCAATATCTGGTGCAAAGCAATTGGTCCAAAATTCAATTTTTCAGAGCCTTTTTTAGTAAAATCTAAAGGTCCTTCCCATTTTTGTTATATCTAGTTAGTAATCCACTTTCTTTTGCATTGAGGGGTTACAATATGTAACTGCTTTCAACTATCATTCAGGTCAGGTGAGTACACATATGGAATTGGTAGAGAATTCTCAGAATCTATACTGAGGGGATTTTGGAAACTGCCATCAAAAATTAACTTTCCAAATTTTGGGACAGAATGCTCCTTGCATAACAGAATACTATTCTATTTCCCACATTTGCTAAAACCTCAAGTCACAAAGATTTCATTAATGGTGGGACAAGCAAACCTGTCAAGGAGTCATCTAAGGCTTCCAGATTCTACTGCAGTGAAGACTAATTAGAGCTCATCTCTTACAATGGAATAGACACTGGGATGACAGAAACAAATACCTTATCCCTCGCTTCCCCATATTTGAGTGATGAATGCACTGGCTTCCTATGAAGAGGAGAGGAAGCAGTTTACTGCTCTTGAATGGCAATAAACTATTCTTTTTGTATCTGATTTCTGTGTTGCCACTGAACAGACCATCAGTTTGACTAAACTATATTAAACAACTAACACCAAGTTGTTCACTATCAATGACTTACGTGCAATCACTTGAACTTCAAGGGAGCAGGTGCTGCTTCCAATGACATTAGAAGCCACACACTGGTAACGTCCGGAAGATACAGTGCTAATATTACGCAGAACAACTGTACCCTGAACTTGGTCTAGGTGGAAAGAAGAAGAAAAAGAAAATTAAATAAATTCCAGTGGGAAGGAAATATAATCACTTCCACAAGAACACTAAAAGGGCAAATCCAGGAAATGGTAAATTCTATTGCAAGACTCTTAAGAGATAAATTAGAAAATAACCTTCAGATGAAAGCATCAGACACTGATAAGCTTAGAGTTTAAGCAGCTTAGACCGGACATTTTCTTTTTAAAGATTATTATTTTTATGTATGTGAAAGCTTAGGACTAAGTGAACAAAGCAAGAAACATAGCAAGGGTCATCAGAAATTTAAGTGTCAACCTAACAAGGGCCTAGAGCACAACTATCAGTTACTCAGCCTTTTTGGTATGAGTGGCAATTCTTCGATGGATTTAAGACAGGGGTGGACAACTGTGGGAGAAATGAATAAAATCACACAATTGGAAAAGAATTAGAAAGGGTCCATCCAGTTGAACCTCCTGCCATGCGAAGTTGGACTGTATGACTTATGATAGAGGGTTATCCAGCCTCTGCTTTAAAATCTGCAGGGGGTAGGTTACTACATTCCAAAGCAGTGTATCCCACTGTCAAATAGCTATTACCACCAGAAAGTTCTTTCCTAATGGTTAGCTGGAATCTCTTTTCCTACAGTTTAATTTGGTTGTTGAATTGGGGCAGCAGAAAACAAGCTTGCTCTTTCCTCCATGTGATACCACTTCAAAGATTCAAACAAGGTTATCATGTTCCCTCTTAACTTTCTCTTCTCTCAGCTCTCTTAACAGCTCCTCATAGGGCTTGGCTTCCAAATCTTTTGGAAGCCTTCTCAGGACACATTCTAGTTGTCAATATCCTTCTTGAATTTATTGTCAAAGGCTTTCATGGCCAGAATCTCTGGGTTGTTGTAGTTTTTTCATTCTGTATGGCCATGTTCTAGAAACATTCTCACCTGATGATCTGTCTGCATCTGTGGCAGGCATCCTTAGAGGTTGTGAGGTCTCATAACCTCTGAGGATGCCTGCCAAAAATGCAGGCGAAACGTCAGGAGAGAATACTTCTAGAACATGGCCATACAGCCTGAAAAACCTACAACAATCCTTCTTGAATTATTGTGTTCATAACTGGACCAGGATACCTATACCTACCAGAGGGCTGCACTAGCAAGCCAAATGCAACCAGAAGTTAAATGATGTTCATAACTGCTGGGAACCTAGAATGTAGGACTAGAAGCTGACTTTGAACAACACAGTACACAAATAACTTAACTATTTCACCATATGATGTCTCAGGTACTATTTTTTCAGCACAAACTAGCATTTCAACAGCAGTAGTACCAGCAAGAGAAACCTCCACATAGTGCAATGTAAGGTCAACCTGAAAAATCACAACATGGCTGTTATACAGCAATTATATCACTGCTTCATCTGTGTCTTCAGATTTACTCCATATACTTGTAAAGAATCAACTATTAATCGCAATCTGCTAGTCAGGCAACAGGAATACTAATGATTAGTCAACTCAGAAACTGAGATGTATGATCAATATGTTGGCTCAACTACACCACAGTCTGGCAAGCCAGCTATGGTACAGAGTTAAAGTTGCACATGCACTTATTTCATCTCGACAGAAGAACTACCTAATCCCAGACTCAGTTTGCTTTAGATCAAATTACGATACAATACATGAATCTTTTGCACTACATCGCAATGGCAACATCTCGTGCATTTGATTTTACATCTGACAATTTTTTTTCTGGAAATATGGCCACCATTATGTTAGGTGTGTTTAATAATAATTTTCAATAATTTTATAATTAGAAATTCCACTAGAGGGCACCCAGAACTTTAAGCTCTAATGTCTTCATGAAAGCAACCTAATACTTCCCTTAAGAATTTTTTTCTCTGCCTTTATATGCTCATTATACATCTACGAAATCTTCTTCTGCCATATTCTTATGGGCTGGAATTGACACTGGGTTCTCAAAAGGCAATATAGGTAATCTCCAAGTTTAGTATTTGATTACTATGTCAGGATATTGGTTGTTTGCTTGATGGTTGTTTTTATGTTGTTTTATGATGTTGCTCTATAAATTTTACTGTGTTATATTTTAAACTATGTTTGACCAGGCTTGTCCCCATGTAAGCCACCCCCAAATCCCTTTGGGGAGATGGCGGCAGGATACAAAATTAAAGTTTTTGTTGTTGTTGTTGTTGTTGTTGTTGTTGTTACAAACAAGATAGGTTCTGTAGGTTTGTTCTTAAATTGAATTTGTATGTAAGTCAGAACAGGTACATTTTTAAGTATAATCCCAGCCAAATATATATAAATATATTAGCTTTTGATAGGATGGGGAAGTGTGAATATCCCTGTGGTGCTTGTCTTGTTGTCTGTGCCCCTGTTCAAAAGATTTCACCTCCCTTTCTGCCACTGTGAGAAACAGATTTTGTTGTGGAAACAAGGATTGGTGAGAAAGCTTCAGTAGAGACACCTTTTCCCCATGATAACTCTTTCAGGAGTGAATTTCCCTTACAAGGGATAGATTTCTCACTTCTTGTTGTCTCACCTCTGTTCTTAACTATGAGTCATTTGTAAGTTGGATGTTTGTAACTAAGGGACTTGTATACATCCCAAGAGAAGAAAGCTCTAAACCGATAATCAAAAAAGCTTTTAACACTACTGAACAGAGTTAATTGAATAGTATTGGATATTACAAGAAACATAGTGGATACAAAACAGCAGAAACCTACAGGCAGTACAATATAACAGAGTATTGTGACTTATGAGGCCACAAAGGGCAACCACATAGATATTACAAACAGAAAATAAAGAAATTGAAACTATAAATTATTTTGGCAAAGTATCAAACAGCCAATATGCATTTCACAGCAACAACCAATTATGGGCAGTAGAATAAACCTTGTGCAATGATTGTAAGGATATAGGTAGCCAGATAACACTTGTTGTTATTTTAATTATTTATTTCCATCACTGTACATGGCATTTTACAAGTAAAAAGAACAACAAAACAGTTCCCTGCCCTCAGGCTTTACACTCTAATTAAGACATGACACACACACACACAAAAGGGGGATGGCGGTATGGGAGGGGATAAAGCCCAGCAGATGTGCTGATTTATACAGTTATAAAACAACAGCAGATTCAATATTGATGAATAGTCCTAGAACCAAATATTGAATTTCACAATAGAAGCTGACACTATATTTGATACTGTTGAAATGATTTATGGTTTCCATTCATTTATTTGGTGTTTGGAATATCTATATAATTGTCATGGACTTGAATGTGGCCTTATCAGTTGTGATGTTCTCTTGTTTTGTATCCCCAATGTTTCTGACAATGTTATTCACTGTCCTGTCAACACTTTTTTGATGATCTCTCTGGAGCGCTAGTGTTCTGCTTGTTTTGGAACACTCCCTTGTTACCTGCTGTTTGTGCTTCTCAAAAGCAGTGAAACACAGGCTCTGACAAGTTGGTAAGACATGTTGCCATCTGAAGATTTCTCAAGCAAAGTATATAATGAATCAGTACTACATGGCTGGCCAGCAGGCAAGAAACTGGCCATAAGACCTTCAAACACAACAATGTTGTGGATATTATTATTATTATTATTATTATTATTATTATTATTATTATTATTTTACTGACACAAAAACACCGTATGTTACAGCAACTGAGTTATATATGCTGGATTTTGTATCACAAAATCACAAGTCGAACACTTCCCAAGGATCTAGGACTGTGTGATGTAACAATAAACATTGACAAAATCACGATCTGTCAACTGCAAAAGGTCACCTTACTTGGATCTGTGCGCATCATTCGAAAATACATTGTTGTTGTTGTTGTTGTTGTTGTTGTTGTTGTTGTTGTTGTTGTTATTATTATTATTATATTTATATTTATACCCCACTTTATCTTTCCCGAAGGAGACTCAAAACAGCTTAACATAAAAACATTAGCATACAATTTAAAATATAGAAACCTGAAAACATTAAAACAGAATTAAATATAAATAGTATTAAAAATTTCACAGTTAAAAACTATCTAAACATATTCAAAGTTAAAAACTGCATAATTGTGATCTATATGAGTGGAAGGATTACCCCCACAAATTAATTCACAGCTTGTCCAAATATTCAAGGTAAGCTATTACAACAAGGAGGGTGGGGGCATGGTTGTGCAGTGGGTTAAACCATTAAGCTGCAGAACTTGCTGACCAGAAGGGTGTTGCTTCCAATCCATGGGATGGGGTGAGCTCCCATTGCTAGCTCCAGCTTCTGCCAACCTAGCAGTTCGAAAACATGTAAATGTGAATAGATCAATAGGCACAGCTTAGACAGGAAGGTAATGGCGCTCCATGCAGTCATGCTGGCTACATGACCTAGGAAGCATCTACAGACAATGGTGGCTCTTCAGCTTAGAAATGGAGATGAGCACCACTTCCCAGAGTTGGACTTGACTAGACTTAATGTCCAGGAGAAACCTTTACTATTATGACAAGACTTTAAATGTTTTTCTCCTTTCTCTCCATGACCTCCTTGGATTTGGTGATTTTATCCAATGTTGCACCACTGTAGTTTAGGACATACCACATATGATGTAAAATCATATCAGTATCAGGGGGACAAGAAAAGCTGAAAATGAAAATGATCAGGGAAAACATGTACTGCTCACCTTGTGTGGCTGTTGGAGGCAGCTTAGGAGCACTGTCCAATTTTTCCCAATAGTAGGTTGGCCGAGGAATGCCTTCTTCTGAATTGCATGTTAGTGTGATATCATTGCCAATACTTAAAGAGCCCTGAATTCTGCAGACTGGAGCAGAGGGAGGTACTACAAATAAGAACAGATAGCAAAGGGACAAACAAGTTATGAGTTGTGGCTAAGACTTGTGCAGTTTTAATTGCTTTCCACATTCTTTTGGACTTTAGGCCACCAGGCACTGATACATTTTTCTTTTTTTTTCTTTTTAAGAGGAAACGCTGAGAAGGGAAAAGATACAGATGGCTTAAGACTACTAGAAAGCAACAGGCGAGGTCACCTGCTAAGGCTTTTGTAGCTAATGTGCAAGCTTTGTCATGATGGCTGGCTTAATTGTGGCCATTTTCGATTAGGGTCCTCTACAGGGAAGAACAACATCTGCAGCTCCCCACCAGCTAACCCAATAAAGAAATCATTAAAACTCTTTTGCTTCCAGCCAAATTCTGTTATCTGGATGAGGTTGGAAAGTTTAATATTATTCCCTATGTAGTTTCAGTAGTGGGGAAAATAGAAATGATATTGTTGGTAGCACAGTGAATAACTCTTTTCCTTTGTATAGATTGAGTGTCCCTTATCCAAAATGCTTGGGATCAGAAGTGTTCTTCTGCATTTCTTTTCTTTTCTTTTTTTTTGGGGTGTGTGTGTGTGTAATACTTGCATATACACAATAAAATATCTTGAAGATAGGACCTAAGTCTATATGTATGTTTAATTTATGTTTAATAGATACCTTATGCACATAGCCTGAAGTTAATTTTACACCAAGTGTTTTATTTAATGTTTATGAAACAAAGTTTTGTACATTGAACCATCAGAAAGTAAAGTGTCACTATCTCAGCCATTATGTGGATAATTTTAGATATTGGAAAGTTTTGGAATTCCTTATAAAGGATACTCAACCTATATAACAACTTTCCACTTTGGTATTGCTCCACAAGTAGTAATACCACAATTTGCAATGTAATGAGATTGTGGAGCTGAAGTTCCAGATTCTGGAAGTTTCTCCACAGTGGTCAGATGAAGAAAGTTTGGAAAGTTCATTTTTTAGAGTACAACTTTTCCATGCTCCATTAGAAACAGAAGCTTTATGCAGGCTTTACTTATTTTGCCTTCTTCAGTAAAGAAAGAGGGGTGTCTAACTTTGCTACTTTTCTCAAAGACAAGGGACCTGTCTTCTCTTTCTGTGGAGGCTTTCTATTGAGCAAGAGCCACAGAAAACCAGGGATCCTATTTACATTAAATAGTCTCAATTTAAATAGGCACCCCTTCTATGCAGACAGGTCACTTTCTGTGTGAAGAAAGGTATTCCTCTCCCACTGTATTGACAAAAGTCACATAAATAACACATAAATAGGACAACAAATTAAACTGTATTCCCCTTGTTTGTGGTTGGGGGAGAAATGAAGCTTAACTGCCCCATCTACACTGCCCATTTAATTAAGTCTTCTGCTTTTTGTCCCATCAGGACTCATTGAAGAATAACTCTGTGGGTTCTGGACATGTCACTAGCCCCCTTTCTCCTCACTGCTCATTTATTATGCATACACAAATAATGTATTGGGGGACAGGAGAACCAAATCTAAAAAACTTCTGGTCACAAGCAATTTGGATAAAGGAGACTCCACAACTATTACAACATGTGCATTTATGATCAGAAAAAAAAGGGAGTCGGGGAGAGGAGTTGGGAGAAAGGAAGGGCAGGGCAGTTAAATTGTGAGTTATTTTCCTTTTACTTAACACCAGACACCAGATTTCAAGAGTGCCATTTAAGCTTCTGTAGCGGGTCCCCAGGGATCACTTTCAACACCATCATGTCATGTCTGAGCTAATTCCTCTAAGCAATTTTTCTGTACTTTGAAGAGTCTATCCAGCACCTGGTACCTTTTGTTCTGGGTTGTCTAAGGTCATGATCCTTGCTCGCCTTGCCTTTGTATTTTCTTTCATCTTGTTCCTCAGATTCTGACCTGCCTTGTTTGAAACCTTACATTCCTTCTTTGATTATGGACCTTGCCTCTATTGTTCTACTTTAACAGCAAGCTCCACAGGGTCTTGGAGTGACAAGGACACATTTTTCCTTATTCCATCAGCTGATAAACTTTCAGGATTTAAAGGAGGGCAATAACCAAAAGGGAAAAAAAATCTACATCAAGAAAGTGAAAACACTGCCCTGCTCTGCCTTTTGCAGCAATGAAGAGGTCAGGTGATAGGGAAATAAAATGTCTATCTGCTGAGTAAGTATTTGACATCACATTTTAAGTCCAAAGGGTCCTTACACACTCCTTACACATATCATGCAACTGTAGAGGAATGAGGTATGGAACTAAATTTGGCACTTGATGTCCTATATTTATTTTTAAAACTGTTGTTAATGGCAGTCACTGGGTAGATTTTCATGGAGAAAGTAAATTATTTCTTCCCTGCTGCAATCTTAATAAATCTCCCTCCCTCCCTCCCTCTCTTTCTACCTCCCCCTCACACATGTTAGAAGCTCCAGAAAGATATTTGCATGCAATATCTTTTCTTAAGGATTTCCATAGCAGGTGGATGAAGGGTGATTATTATCAGTATTATCTTAATGAAGAGAAGAGTTCAGAACCCATAGGAAATCACAGCAGCAAAATATAGTCTATTGCAAGGTGGGGGAAGAATTATAGAGCTTAGATAGGTTACGTTTTAGACTACAACTCTCAGAATCTATTCTTTATTGGGTAACTATGTGGAAAGTACAGTCCAAAAAGCATTTTCTGAAACTCTGAAAGAAATAACAGAATAGTCTTTTCAACCAAACGTGGCTACCATGACATCCAGTGAATCTATGTGAGGTGTTAGTCTAAATCAGTGGTTTCCAACCTTTGGTCCTCCAGATGTTTTGGGATTCAACTCCCAGAAAACCTGGCCAGCTTACCAGCTATTGAGAATTGTGGGAGTTGAAGTCCAAATCACCTGGAGGACCAAAGGTTGGGAACCACTGATTTAGACTAAACAGTTAAGGAGCCATTTAAGGAGCTGAACCTACTGAGGAGGATAACATTCAAAACCATGGACAACACCTTTAATATTTGCCTGAAACTAAGAGCAAATTAATCACCACACTGAAATGGGAGGCAGTTACTGCCACTAATGGCACAGAGTTTGTCTTTGCATTGTCCAAAATTATAGGGTAACCAGCAACTGGAATTAAATATTGAGGAAAGAATAGCAAGGAATTAACAATGGTGGCATAGGCTATCTTACTGTTTCCCAATTCAGCCTTAAAGAATTTTTAAAATAGTATGACCCCTTCCCAAATGGTTTTGGATTGTCAATAATTGAGTTTACCAATATCAGGGGATGAAAGAGTAATGTCATCTAGGACAGAATGCTTTTCAATAATCACCCTGTTGCTGTAACATGCTTGAAACTGTGGTGTGAGTTATAATTTATTACGACACAGTCTGTTCTGCTACAACTTTATTATTTTTTAAGAGTGTGTTAATTACCTTTGGGTTGCATTCAGTGGCTTATACTGTAAAGTGCTCTGAAAACAGAACTTAGGAAATTTTTGTCCCAACAAACTCATTCCCAATTAAAACCCTGACTCAATTAGCCCTGTTCCACTCATACGGAAAAACACATACCCAAGACGTTGAGCCCAATGACTCCAATATTCCGGCCCCCTCTGTCAGGTAGGTTGTTGACCAAACATTGGTATGTCCCAGTGTCTGAGAGCTGGGTGTTGTTGATGAAGATGGAGGCACTGGTGGTTGGCATTGTCATTGCAAACCCCACTCGTCCAGAAAACTGGGGTGCACCATCAAAAATTTGACCCCCTTGGTAAATAATAACCTGGAACACAAAGTCATAACACTGCCTCAAGCAGGATAAAGATTACAAGAAGAGCCTGCCTGCTCATTATATATAAACTTTAATGCCCTGTGGTGTTAGTGCAATTTAAAACAACAATTGTTTTCAGAACCTAAGATAAACCATATGGAGTGCCTGGACCTTTACAATGCATCGTATTTCTTCTTTAGCTACCATGGAGTAGATTTCACTGATACAGGGAAACTTCTCTGAAGTGCCCCTAAAGAGAAAAGTCAGACCTAGTTTGTTTTATCTTTCCACTTAGAAACACAACACAGAAAAGCTTATAATTCGTGATGTTTCCAAAAATCCTACCCTTAGTCATAGATGAATTCCTCTCTTGGATTTTGGAGTCCAAAATCACTTAGTTATATTCTCCCAAAATGATCTGAGGAATTAGTAATGCTTAACTGTTTCACTTTAAAAAAAATCTAGGTTATGTACACAGCATTTCTACATTAGCAATTTACTGCAATTTCTCATTCCTTCACATCTATCCCCCATCCACAACAACATGAAGGGCCATATATGTGTGCTATTACTAAAGGAAAAAATGAGAAGCTATCATATTTAGCAATGCTCTTTTTCACACTTTAATATGAAAAGATGAGCTCTAATCTGCTCTTCCCAAACCAGAATATAATTTCTCTTCAAATACATACTCATGTTAGCCTGGAGTATCAGTATCTAAAGGGATCTTGTAGCACCTTAGAGATTTACCAAGAGAAAATAAGTTCATACCATATAGTTTCTACATCTACACTGGAGAATAAATGTAGTTTGATGCCACATTAACTGCCATGGTTCAATACTATGGAATCATGGGATCTCTAGCTTGGTGAAGCACCAGTTGTCTTTGGCAGAGAAATTACAATTCTCATGATTCCATAGAATTGAGCCATGACAGCTAAAGTGGTAAAAAAGCCTGCATTAATTCTAAAAAACAGATGCACCTTGTCGACTTCTGATTCCGCTTCAGTTCTTCAGTGTTTACTCACATTTTCTATTAAAACATGTATCTTCATGCAAAAGAGGAAAAATGCATGTAAAAATTGGGGAATGTGTCCCTGTTGGTTCTTTTGTGTCCCTGTTGGTTCTCTTGGTGATGTTCAATGCCATTGACCATGGCATACTTTTGGGACACCTGGAGGGTTTGGAAATTGGAGGCACCGTGCTGCAGTGGTTCTGGTCGTGCCTTTCTGACAGGTTCCAGAATGTGGTGCTTAGGAGTAGCTGTTACTCAAGAAAAGGAGCTATTCCAAATGTCAGCCTAGGTAGATGTCACAGTCATGAGTGCTTACTACCAGCTTCAGCTGATATGCCAGCTGCATCCCTTCCTAGAATATGAGGACCTAAATATGGTAGTAACACACTAGTAACCTCCAAGTTGGACAGCTGCAATGCATTTTACATTAGGCTACCGCTGAACCATGTGTGAAAACTCCAATTAGTTCAAAACATGGCATCGCAATTAGTTACGGGAACATCTAGAAGTAGGTATATTACTCCCATATTAAAGTCATTCCACTGGCTGCCAATTGGTTTTTGGGGAAAGTAAAGTATCCTTTAAAGCCCTACATGGTTTGTTTCTGGTTACCTTCATGATCGCTTTTTCCCATACAGTTCGCCCCGCACACTTAGGTCCTCTGAGGAGCAGCTAGAACCCAACTGGCAACTGTCACTCAGAGGACCTTTTCATTGGCTGCCCCAAAACTGTGAAATGACCTGCCAGAAAAGCTCTGACTTGCCAGAAGAGATCTGACAACTTAGTGAGCTGTCAGAATTTAAAACAGAACTGAAGATCTAACTCTTCTGGCAGGACTGCCAAGTCAGCTTTAACTATGAATTTTAAAACCACATTCTATGTTTATTGTATTTTAACTTTTGTTTCTTGTATTTTAATATGTGTATTTTTAATGTCTGCTTTTATAGATGTATTTGAACTATTCTGTGCCCCACTTCGGGCCATAAGGAGAAGCGGGTAAGAAATAAAAAATACTATTATTATATCATTACTTGGGGGAAGCTGGCCACTGGCCCATATCATTGCGCTATTTTGACTTTTAAAGCCCTACACGTCAAGGGTTCTTAATATCTGGAAGACAATATCACCTTAAGCAAGCCAATGTGAGCTTGAAGATCAGCAGGGAAGGGCTTACTCTCACCAACTTCAGAGGAATGGATGGTAAGGACCTAAGAGACAGCCTTCTCTATGGCTGCTTCCAGGCTATGGAACTCTGTTCCATGGAAGATCTGGTTGATCTCAACCCTCCTCTCTTTCTGCTGACAGATGAAGATATTTCTATTTAGGCATGCCTCTTAATTTAAACTGTGGAGTAGTAGTGTCAGTGTGTAAAATTATGCACTGTATATTTTAGTCTTTTATTGAAATTATGTTTTAAATATGTTCAGACTGTTAACAATATTTAATCATTTAAAATATTGTTATTTCATTCTTTTCTAACTTTGTAAATCAATAGTTTATCTTGATCTTTTGAAAATTATTGTAAGCCACCTTAAATACAATTTTGAGAGAAAGGCAGGATATAAATTCAATAAATGAATAAATACGACTAAATGCTGAAAAGAAACACAGTTCTTACTCATTTATCATGTTGATTCCAGAGCAGTAGTATAAATTACCATAAATATTTATTAACATGATAAAAAATACTGACTATAAAATTTGTTCTTCCTTCATAATTGACAACTCTGTTTGTTATTTTACTAAAATACAATCTAGCTGTTCTCTTTCTCTCTGTCTCCCATCTTGCAATTTTTATGTAACCTATAAAGGCTAGTTTAGCAGGGCTCTTACATAAACTAATGAGAATTGAAAAGCTTTTGATTTGGAATTTATTCATTTGATTTCCCACTAGCAGAGTACACGATGTCATTTAAATAGAAAACAATGAAGTTTCAGACAACAGAAAAGTGCCTCTCATAGAAAACGACAAAAGACAGAAACAAATCAGAATGATGAAAATGCATACACCAGTAGGAGGAAAAGTAAATTAATAAGTAAGGGGAAAATGAAGCTTTGAAAATGGAAATGAATGGAATAATGGTTTGCACACTTGACCCATTATCAACAGTGTAATATATGTTATGATCTGAATATAGAATCAAGAATGTAAGAAGCCCCAGATTAGCCAGAAAGGTCTATTATAAACAAAGAAACAATACCAAAAAGTGTGTCAGGTATCACAGAACTGAGGCTAGAATCTTATGAGCCAGGTCCCAGTTCCACTGCCCTATACTAGAATGTTTCCCTGTTTGCTGCAAAATCAGATTGTGTTCATATTCTAGCATCAGACTGTGTGCATAATGGCTTCCAGTTATGGCCAGCAAAAAGCAGCTAAACATCATTTTGAACCTCACAACCTCTGAGGATGCTTGCCACAGATGCAGGTGAAATGTCAGGAAAGAATGCTTCTAGAACATGGCCATACAACCCAAAAAACCTACAATAATCCATCATTTTGATATTCCAAGGAGACCTTCAAAGACAAATTCTGATGCTTCTGCTATCTGCTGTCCCTCTTCTAGATAATAATAATAATAATAATAATAATACTTTATTTATACTCCGCTACCATCTCCCCAAGGGACTCCGTGCAGCTTACATGAGGCTGAGCCCAAAGTACATCAACAGTAAAAGCAATAAGAAAACAATCAATACAACAGTTAAAATAAATCTCATAAACAAAAGTAAACAATAAACAGTAACAATAACAACAAGCATTTAAAACCTATGGCTGGGCCATAGATGTCACAAAATACTCATGATGAAGCAAATGGAAGATATGCAAAGATATATATCTTTGACAGAAATGAATGGTAAGATGTGAACTTGGGAAAGAAAAGACAGCGAAGCCTCACAAATCTTGGTTTAGTATATTCAGATTCATAATTTATTATTTACATATTACTTCACTATTGTCTCTCTACTTCTACCTTTTTAGAATGCACATGAAAGAAAAAGAACTTCAAGAATCCCACTAACAGTTTTTGGGAAAAATATACTTTTTGGACTACAGCTTCTGGAATCTCATAACTGGCAGTCAATTCAGCAAGTTGCAATCCAAAGTAACTTTTCCAAGTTTTGAGAACAATGCATCCATGGAAGCAGTCCTGGGGGGGGGGGGGAGGAAGGAAAACAGCAAATTAATCTTTGTTTCTACCAAGGTGCTGGTACCTGTTCAGGTTGGTTGGCATTGGAGAGTGGGGTGACCATCCAGATGACATTAAGGTTTGTAAGAGCAGCACTGGTGGTGAAGGTACAGGGCAGGATTGCTGTCTGGCCCCGAGCAACTTCAACACTTCTTGCATTCATGAAAACCTCCAGGGGACTCACTAGACCTGCAAAGAAAGCGGGAAGATGCTATACATCAGTAATCTAAAAGATAATCCTGGCAGTGGCATATTTAATACTAGCACAAATTGTATACCATGCAGCTGTATTTCATATTGTATGCCACACAGCTGTGGACAAGTCTACATAGAGACCACCAAACGGAGCACCCAAATATGAAATCAAGAAACATGAAAGGCACTGCAGACTAATTCAACCAGAGAAGTCAGCCATAGCAGAGCACCTGATGAACCAACCTGGACACAGCATATTATTTGAGAACACAGAAATGCTGTACCACTCTAACAACCACCATGTCAGACTACACAGAGAAGCCACTGAAATCCACAAGCATGTGGACAGTTTCAACAGAAAGAAAACCATGAAAATGAACAAAATCTGGCTACCAGTATTTAAAAGCTCTAAAATCAGGACAGTAAATAAAGAGCGACACTCAAAAAAACAGAGGAATTCCAGAGAAGAATCAATCAGGGCCAGCGAACACCTCCCAACAAAGGATCCCCCAGGCAGGAAGTAGCCAGGTTTTGAAGCTACAAGGTCATTAAATGCTAATTGAGGTGGCCAATTGAGACCTTCACACTTGCCTGAAGCAAACAAGTGTTCTTTCTCCCACCCTGGACATTCCACAGATTATATAAACCTCACTTGTCTAGCTTCCAACAGACCTCACGACCTCTGAGGATGCCTGCCATAGATGTTGGCAAAACATCAGGAGAGAGTGCTTCTAGAATATGGTTGTACAGTCTGATAAACTCACAGCACCCACAAAGAATCACTAGAGTGTTGTGTGGTTTCCAGGCTATATAACTGTGTTCCCATAGCATTTTCTCCTGATGTTTTGCATGCATTTATGGCAGCCACTGATGCAGGCGAAATGTCAGGAGAAAATGCTATTAGAACATGGCCATACAGCCCAAATTATTTTCCCATTGTCCTTACTGTGAAACCCTAGTCCCTCCCATTCTCTTTCCCTTCTTCCTTTCCCACTTGCTTCTCACTCCTCACCATCCAGCCTGTCCCCTTGGCCCATTTTCTAAGATTTCCTCCTGCCATGAGTAATCGAGGACAGTCAGTGGTGCCTCTCCAGCTCTTGGTACGCAGGATGCAAGAAAAAGATAAAAAAAATTACAAAGATTCCTCTTGCTAAGCTAAATAGCACCTGCAGGGCTACAGATGGGGAAGGCACACACAACTGCTTCTGACAGGTAAACATAGCAAAGGTGACAAGGGAGTAGGGAAGGGGAGGAGGGGCATGTGCTGAGTCTGCATCTGTTTACACTGGGACAGGCTGGTATTCTCAGACACAAATGCACACAGCACTACAGACAGAGACTTGCCAAGAAAAAGAGAAATGGAACAAAGCAACTGCTCTCAAGCAGCTCTGTGTTCTCACAAAGGTTTCCATCGTCACCACTATTTATTACTTTGGGAGCACTTAGATCTTGCCAAACACTTTCTTAGCTTCATAATAAATAACCATTCACGAAAGCTTCTGCCCACAGGCTTACAATCAAGTGCATTTATTTACACCTCACAATTTATTTATACCCAGTAAAAGGGCAGAGATAAATAAAATAACCCCCTGTATTTAGTGTTGAATTATTCAATTGAGATGGGTTTATACAATCTGTGCAAATGTAGGCCAAAACTGCATAGCATAATGTTGTGCAGAACACTAGCATAGCTACACTGGAGCTGATGAAGTACCCTTTTGCACAACTGAGGGCCATGAACTGATGAATTGTGCAAAAGCTGATCCGGTTCCAAACAATAAGGACTGCATCTATGGAGCTTTCTCAATTCCTTAAAAAAGCAGTTTCCACAGTGTACCATCGAAGGTTTTCATGGCCAGAATCACTAGGTTGTTGTGTGTTTTCCGGGCTGTATGGTTTCTGGAAAAATGGCCATATAGCCTGGAAAACACACAACAACCCAGTGTACACTGTGTTTTTGCACAGTGTATTTGGAACCCTGAATAAGATACCATCCTTGATCAACTAGCAACAAGTTTGCATAACTATCTTTCTGCTAATTTAAAATCATAATAGGATTCCTAGTTGTAGATTCTGAAAAATATACACTACTGCACATCCTTTAACACAATAAAAACTGCTCAAATGTGCAAAAGCTTCATTTGGACTGTTTGGACTGACTGTTCACATGTTGCTTTCCAACAAATTCCTAACTTTGTTGAGTACTATTCTCTAATAAGACAATTTGGTTTGGTTTCAATACATGCAGGAAATCACCACAGTGTAAGGAGCTCCTGGTGGCACAGTGGGTTAAAACTCCTGTGCCGGCTGGACTGAAGACCAACAGGTCGCAGGTTCGAATCCGGGGAGAGGAGGATGAGCTCCCTCTATCACTTCCAGCTCCTCATGCGGGACATGAGAGAAGCCTCCCACAAGGATGATAAAAACATCAAATCATCCGGGTGTCCCCTGGACAACGTCCTTGCAGACGGCCAATTCTATCACACCAGAATTGACTTGCAGTTTCTCAAGTCGCTCCTGACACAACAAAACACACACACACACACACACACACACAGTGGAAAAACTAGCTGTAAAGTACCCTGTCGGCAATGTGAAGTGCTCTAGTCCCATGGAAAGCTTAGCCTCCTAAAATCTTTATAAAGACAGCAGATCAAGATGTCTTCATATACATTTCATCTTGTCTATGCAGATACTAGCTCCTATGTTTACCCTTCTCTCCATCCCACTTTCTTTTCTAAAAAGTGAGAAGGCCACATTGGCAGCTATTTTTAAACCTGGGAACTCCTTCCCTTAAGAGGTTAGGATGTTTCTCTTCTTGGCCCCCTTACACACAGCTAATAAAATCCCACATTTTCTGCTTTGAACAGGAATTATATGACAGTGTGGACCCAGTTCAAAACAGATATTATGGGATTTTCTGCCTTTATATTCTGGATTACATGGCTGTGTGGAAGGGTCTTTGGTCTCCTTCCACCAAGTGAATTTTCCAAGTTCAACAAGCTTATGATTGCAAACGGCTTTTATGTTCTTTTCTATGGATGTGAGAGCTGGACCATAAGGAAGGCTGAGCGAAGGAAGATAGATGCTTTTGAACTGTGGTGTTGGAGAAAAATTCTGAGAGTGCCTTGGACCACAAGAAGATCCAACCAGTCCATACTTCAGGAAATAAAGCCCGACTGCTCATTGGAGGGAAGGATATTAGAGGCAAAGATGAAGTACTTTGGCCAAATCATGAGAAGACAGGAAAGCTTAGAGAAGACAATGATGCTGGGGGAAAATGGAAGGAGAAAGGAAGAGGGGCCAAAGGCATAGAGTCATAGAATCATAGAATCATAGAGTTGGAAGAGACCTCATGGGCCATCCAGTCCAACCCCCTGCTAAGAAGCAGGAATATTGCATTCAAATCACCCCTGACAGATGGCCATCCAGCCTCTGTTTAAAAGCTTCCAAAGAAGGAGCCTCCACCACACTCCAGGGCAGAGAGTTCCACTGCTGAACGCTCTCACAGTCAGGAAGTTCTTCCTCATATTCAGATGGAATCTCCTTTCTTGTAGTTTGAAGCCATTGTTCCGTGTCCTAGACTCCGGAGGCAGCGAAAGGAAGTGTGGGACGGCTACAGAGTTCGGGTGGGCCTGTCCAGAAGCAAAAAGTCAGAAGTGACTGAACGAATGAACAACAACAACAAGATACGATTAATGTGGAAGCGATCATGGTAGCAGTTTTTGAAACAAAATTAATCTCTGTTTTCTCATGTGTGTACAACTGGCATGTAAAGACTACTTCACACATGTTTTCTTAGGTTACAACAGCAAAATGAATACACGCAGATTAAAATTCTGTCAGTTCTAACTAAAGTAGATCCACACAATGAATGGGATTTCCCTATGTGTTGACTCACTATACAATTGATTGAATATGGTAGTTCTGTTCTAGTGAGACCAACAATATGATGCTAGACACCTAGCATACATGTTTCCTTCACACAACCAAGATACCCAAGTTGGGAAATTATCCTGCAGTTCACTAGGAAAGTTGCCTGAGTAAAACTTGCAGCAGAGACTAAAAATCCTACCCAGGTCAATGAAAAGTGTGCATGAGAAACCAACAGCAAGTCATTCCTATGGGAAGCAAAATCATTCCCATGAAGCATCCAGCTTCCCAGCAAAACCAACAGCAATCTTGAATTATACTGAGCACCATCTCTGTGGAAAGTTTAGCTTTTAAAACATACCAGCTTGCTATGCATGCACATGCACACTATCACAACTTTACTCTCTTCGATCGGCACCAGGGGAGCAATCTTATAATGAGTGAAGGCGGCCGGCAGCTAACAGGATCTCCAGAGTGGGATCTCTCTTTTTCTCGCTTTGTGTTTCCCTTGCAATGTTTTACATTCTGACCTCAAAGCATCAAGAAGTATTGTTAATAATAAATGTTGCAATTTGATACTCCTCTGTGTGAGAGAAATGTCTGGCAGATCATTGCTTTGGCTGTGAAACCTTTTCTAAAAAGACACGAGCAACCTGTTATTTCCAGAACTTCTTTAATTGGAAGGTGTGTGTGCTAACAACATGAAAGTATCACCAGTATTGATCCCAACCTGTTATTTAATGACTTCTACTCAGTTTTTCAAAAATAATAATAATAATAAATCAGACAAAATGGTCTTGGCAACAGTAATCGGACAGTTTTTAAACAACTGTGAAAATTATTTATTTGGGCTTACGATTCATTCTACCACAAGGATTGTGGGAAAGCATCAAAGTATTGACAAAATCAAGGGGGATGGGGTTTGCAATAAAATAAAATAAAACACTGGAAATAATTCTCAGTATACTCTGACTACTGGACTGCGTGCCCAAATAAGAATGGGCAGCACTGATTCGGAAATGACTTCAGGGTCAGGACTCAGGCAGTCATCCAGGGGAAGGGAGTTCCATAAATGTAGAGCAGCTAAAAAAGAACAACTCTAGCTGCTCCCAATGTTTGGA